ACAGGCAGGAGATGGCAGCAGCATCTTCTTGATAACAACAAACTAACAATAAAAAAAAACTGCGGTTGCCAACCCGCTCGCCAAGCGTGGCAACTATGGCAAATACCCCCCTATGAATGACAGTAACAAAGAAACGGCCCCCAGTCCCCGGCGGCCCCGCTATTCCTGGCTACGGTGGCGACCATGGTAACGGCGGGGCAGGGGGTGCTAAGAATCTCCGGTGGAGGTTCGGTTGCCACCTTAGACGACTCGACCTGGCAACGTACAACGCACGCACCCTGAGGACTGACGAGAAGATCGTGGAGCTGGAAGAAGAGATGGACAAGTTGCGCTGGCATATTATAGGATTATCCGAAGTCCGAAGAGAGGGGGAGGACACGGTAATCCTCGAATCCGGCAACTTGCTCTATCACCGGTAGGGGGACCATCTGTCCCAAGGAAGTGTCGGATTTATCGTCCACAAGTCTCTCGTTAACAACGTTGTAAAGATCGGGAGTGTGTCGACGAGGGTTGCGTACCTTATACTCAGAATCACCAAACGGTATTCGCTGAAGGTCATACAGGTTTACGCACCAACCTCGGCACACCCCGATGAGGAGGTGGAGGAAATGTATGAGGATATCTCTAGAGCCATGCATTTCTCCAAAACCCAATATACGGTGTTAATGGGAGACTTTAATGCAAAACTAGGCACAAGAGAGAACGGTGAGCTGAAAGTAGGGAAATTTGGAATAGGGCAACGGAACCCAAGGGGCCAGCAGCTGGCCGACTTCATGGAGAAAGAGGGACTCTTTATGATGAACTCTTTCTTCCAGAAGCGGCCCCACAGAAAGTGGACCTGGTCGAGCCCCAACAGTTCGACAAAAAATGAGATTGACTTCATTATGACGACCAGACGACAACTGTTCAGTGATGTCTCCGTGATCGCGAGGGTGAAAACTGGTAGCGATCACCGAATGATTAGAGGCACACTGAACCTAAACGTTAAGTTGGAGAGGTCTCGTCTAATGAAGTCAACGCTCCGTCCCCCTCGTGCTCTAATCCAAAGTCCCGAAACCTTTCAGCTCGAGTTACAAAACCGTTTTCAGTGCCTAGAAGACTGCAATGAAGTGGACGATATGAATGACAAGCTCGTGGAAACTGTCCATGCGGTCGGAGCTAAGTTCTGCAAGACCCGCCGCAGAAGAACACAAAACTCTCCGATCACACTCTTAATCTCATGGCTGTTAGACGGGAGATGAAGCTACATTCTTCAACAGACTTGACAGCATACAGGCATCTGAACAGACAGATCTCCAAATGCATGCGGCGGGACTTACGCAACTTCAATACAGCTCGTATTGAAGAAGCGATCGAGCGGAACCAAGGCTCCAAACTCTTTGCCAGAGATCTGTCTGCCAGAAAGAGCCAACTGTCAAAGCTGAAGACAGAATGTGGCAGCATCGTTTCCGGGACACCTGAGATTTTGAGTGAGATTGAGAGGTTCTATGGGCAGTTGTACACGTCATCGTTGGAGCCACACGCAAGTGTGAGTAACGATCCAAGAGCGAGTCTCATCCGACACTATTCCGAAGATATCCCAGACGTCAGTCTGAGCGAGATTAGAATGGCTCTCCAGCACCTTAAAAACGGTAAGGCCCCAGGCGAGGATGGAATTACAGCGGAGCTTCTGAAAGCGGGTGGAAAACCGGTACTTGAAGTCCTTCAGAAGCTCTTTAATTCCGTCCTCCATGGTGGCATTACACCGGAGGCGTGGAGCAGAAGTGCGGTGGTCTTGTTCTTCAAGAAAGGTGACAACGCTCTCTTGAAGAACTACAGACCGATTTCCCTTCTGAGCCGCGTCTACGTGCTGTTTTCGAGAGTCATTACGAATCGTCTTGCGCGCAGATTTGACGACTTCCAGCCTCCCGAACAAGCCGGTTTCCGAAAGGGCTTTAGCATCATAGACCACATACATACCCTTCGGCAAATTGTAGAGAAGTCCGAAGAGTACAATTTGCCACTATGTCTGGCGTATGTAGACTATGAGAAAGCCTTTGATTCCGTCGAAATTTAGGCGGTGCTGCAGTCCCTTCAGCGGTGCCAAGTTGACTGTCGGTATATCGAAGTGTTGAAGTGCTTGTACAGTAGGGCTACGATGGCTATCCGAGTACAGAACCAGAGTACGAAACCTATCCAATTGCAGAGAGGTGTAAGACAGGGTGACGTCATATCCCCGAAACTCTTCACCGCTGCATTGGAAGACGTTTTCAAGCTTCTGGACTGGAAAGGATACGGTATCAACATCAATGGCGAGTACATCACTCACCTTCGATTTGCCGACGATATAGTCCTTATGGCAGAATCGCTGGAGGACCTAAGCACTATGCTCAATGACCTCAATAGTGTTTCCCAACGGATAGGTCTTAAGATGAACATGGACAAAACTAAGATCATGTTTAATGTCCATGTCACACCTATGCCGGTAGTTGTTGGGAACACTAAGCTCGAAGTTGTTGACGAGTATGTTTACCTGGGACAAATAGTCCGACTAGGTAAGTCCAACTTCGACCGAGAGGTTAATCGACGGATTCAACTCGGTTGGGCAGCGTTCGGGAAATTACGGCACATCTTCTCGTCAGGTATACCTCAAACCTTGAAAACGAGACTGTACACCCAGTGCGTGTTGCCAGTGATGACATACGGAACTGAGACGTGGTCCTTCACTGCTGGCCGGATGAGGAAGCTCAAGGTCGCTCAGCGAGCTATGGAGAGGGCTATGCTCGGAGTTTCTCTGCGTGATAAACTTAGGAATGAGGATATCCGCAGTAGAACCAGAGTAACCGACATAGCCCAACGGATTAGTAAGCTGAAGTGGCAATGGGCCGGCCATATAGCTCGAAGAACCGACAACCGATGGGGAAGAAAGGTTCTTGAGTGGCAGCCTCGTACCGGTAGGCGAAGTGTAGGGCGTCCCCCCACGAGATGGAGTGACGACCTGGTAAGACATTTTACTCCCGATACCATCCACACCATCTGGATGATTGGCGGTCCACCGCTGTGCGATTTAGAAGATGTTTTCTTCCTCGCACAACTTCCTTGTGGAATAGTTTACCACCAGCGATTTTTCCGGACCGATACGACTTAGGGACCTTCAAGAAAAGAGCCTACTCCTTTTTAAAAGGCCGGCAACGCATCTGCAATTCCCCTGGTGTTGCGGTTGTTCATGGGCGGCGGTAGTCACTTACCATCAGGTGAGCCGCATGCTCGTTTGCCCCCTCTCCTATAAAAAAAAAATGCAGCAAGTCGATGGATGCAGGTGGCTCAGGACCGTGCTTTGTGGCATTCTTTGGGGGAGGCCTATGTTCAGCAGTGGACTTGTGAAGGGCTGTAATGATGATGATGATGATGGGTATTTTTCTACCGACTTCAAAAAGGAGACGGTACGTAATTCGACTGTATGTTTTTTTATGTGTGTTTAATAACTTTTTACTTGGTGAACCGATTTGGATGACTCTTTTTTTATTTGAAAGCTGGTGCTTCACATGTGGTCCCCTATAAATTTGATTAAGATTTGACCAATAGTTTTTGAGTTTTTCTTAATAATTTATATTGAAGTCGGTTGGACAACATTTTTAATTTTAAATTATATTTATCGTGGTATAGGAGACTGTGATATCAGAGTAAGGTTTGGAAATTGTGCAATTTTATAATACATACTAAGAGATGTTTGCAAACTTTTAAGCTTCCTCTCTTGTATAAAAAACCTAAATATAAGCTGTAAATAAATTCTTTATAAAGCAGTTGTTCAGTCAATGTAATAGTTTCTTTGTGCGTCGTTTTCATCGAGTGTCACTTGTGTACAATGCATTCGATTACTGTGTTTTTTGTTTGCCTCTCCCTTCACGTCTTGTTAATTGGATTTCCAGACTTCACTTCAGTATCAGTTTCCACGGGAAGAACTCGTAGTAATGTATGTTAATGATTAACAAACTTATAATGCATTTAAAACTTATTTTTATTTAATTCAAAATAATCACGTTATCGCTGAGAGTTTTTACAAAACTAAAGTGACAACAAACTAATTATGCAGCAACACTGCAACTAACTGTACAGTCCACCGAATGGTATGTGGCAATTTTTTTTGTTATAGGGTAGGGTGACAAACGAGCACACAGTCCACCTGATGGTAAGTGGTTGCTGCGGCCCATAAACATCTATCCTCGTTTGCGAATCAAAATGCAGATGCGCTGTCACCCGTGAGGACTAAGATGGAATGCCTCTTTTCCAGTAAAAAGGGTCTCCGGTTCTCTACACTCACCATACGAAACACAGCAGTGTTAAGCTGCTATTTTACGCTGGTATTCTGTGAGAGCGTGGTCCTACCCCGATCGAGCCGACCTATTCGTGCCACAACTATACTACTAATATAGTTGCAGCATGGCTCTACCACGTAAAAATGGACACTCGCAGCCAAGTCCCAAGCTACAAAAACAACTACAGATGCGTTGTCACCTCTGCTAAGATGGAATGTCTCACAACCTGTAATTATTCTGGCTCTATACTTCTCCAAATAAAACACTGATATAGTAAGCAGTTAGTAGTAGTAATGTAAGAGAAATGTGAATCCTACTGACAAACATTTGAGCTGCATTACTAACATTTGCCTTCTCCAAAATCCATCTTAGAAATTTAAAAACGTCAGCGCCTTGTGGGACCTATGTAGAATCTTACTTTAACTTTTTTAAGCTTAATTTAAAATTAAAAACATCACGTATGAAATTACTCTGAAGTTAGTAATGTTTAAATGTGAACTAATAAAAAATATTTTAATATAAAGAGAACATAATAATATGTGAAATCATTATTACAATATATGTGATTTTTAATCTGAAATATTATTAATCAAATTAATAAATAATTATAAATTGTTATAAATAGTTATAAATGCTTATGTGCCATTAGGCTAGTTTTATATGCATGTATTATTAGCCCAATATTTTCCTCTCACAGCAAAGGAGATGGTTGACTACATAGCAGACTATTTGGAGAACATTAGAGAACGTCGTGTATATCCCAACGTTCAGCCAGGGTACCTCCACAAACGGCTTCCAAGCGAGGCTCCTCAACAACCAGAGAAATGGGATGATATCTTTCGTGATGTAGAAGACCACATTATGCCTGGGGTATGTTTTGAAAAATAGTAGCATAGTAACAAATGGCTGTAGAAAAAGAAATTTAACGAAGGATCTGCCACTTTTTCATGTAAAGTACACTTAGTTCTAAGCAACATGGTTGCCAATTTTATAATGTCGTGGAGACCAAATTTCGGTCAAAGCGGCAAGTCTCAACGGAGACTAGTCACATAATATATGAACACGATTATTGTGCACGAGTGTGTGCGAAAAAACATAACACTCTCTCTGCAACCCGGGACTACATGGACAGTAGTCGCACTTTACAACCGCTAGACCAACGAGGAAGTCAGTTTATAACATTTGACGGCTCTGTGGCGCAGTGGCTTAGCCATGAGTTGTTGCGCTGTGGGTTGTGGGTTCGAATCCCACACGGAACAAGAATTTGTATGGCCTACAAATAATTGTTCCAGGTCTGGATGTTTGTCCTCGTGCAATCTATGTTTGTAAACTACCTCCACGGTACAGAAGAAAATCCTAGAGTGGGGATAACGTTTTTTAAAGAGAAAAATAAAACTATACTTTTATCCGATATAATTTTGTTTCTATCTAACAAAATATACGCTAATTGGATTGAAAATTCTGAAAGTTATAAAAAGTAATATTATTTTTTCTCAGATTGTGCACTGGCAGAGTCCGCACATGCACGCATACTTTCCAGCTTTGACTTGTTATCCTTCTATAATGGGAGAGATGCTTTCTAGTGCTCTAAATGTACTTTGTTTTACTTGGGTAAGTTGACCCTTTTTGACTTTTTGGAAAATATTATGTCCTTTTTATATTTATTGTTCGCTAAGGTATTGGTTATTATAAAGAAAGCTGCTTACTATGAATCTAAATAAAAAATAATATGTTTTAAAACGATCGTATAATATAATTCCCATACAGATAAAACGAAAAAATATGACGTAACCATCCATTATAGCCTATAAAAGTCCACTGCTGAACATAGGCCTCCCTCACAGATTGCCTTAGAGAGTAGAGACTCCCCCAGAGAAAAATTTAAAGAAATAAACATATTAACTTTGGCATCGCAATATATTTATGTGAATGTAATGTATGTGCAAAAAAACATAAATAGCTTTAATAAGAATAAGGAGTGAGAGTAACGATACAAGAGCGAGTCTCATCCGACACTATTCCGAAGATATCCCGGACGTCAGTCTGAGCGAGATTAGATTGGCTCTCCAGCACCTTAAAAACGGTAAGGCCCCAGGCGAGGATGGAATTACAGCGGAGCTTCTGAAAGCGGGTGGAAGACCGGTACTTGGAGTCCTTCAGAAGCTCTTTAATTCCGTCCTCCATGGTGGCATTACACCGGAGGCGTGGAGCAGAAGTGCGGTGGTCTTGTTCTTCAAGAAAGGTGACAACGCTCTCTTGAAGAACTACAGACCGATTTCCCTTCTGAGCCGCGTCTACGTGCTGTTTTCGAGAGTCATTACGAATCGTCTCGCGCGCAGACTTGACGACTTCCAGCCTCCCGAACAAGCCGGTTTCCGAAAGGGCTTTAGCACCATAGACCACTTACATACCCTTCGGCAAATTGTACAGAAGTCCGAAGAGTACAATTTGCCACTATGTCTGGCGTATGTGGACTATGAGAAAGCCTTTGATTCCGTCGAAATTTGGGCGGTGCTGCAGTCCCTTCAGCGGTGCCAAGTTGACTGTCGGTATATCGAAGTGTTGAAGTGCTTGTACAGTAGGGCTACGATGGCTATCCGAGTACAGAACCAGAGTACGAAACCTATCCAATTGCAGAGAGGTGTAAGACAGGGTGACGTCATATCCCCGAAACTCTTCACTGCTGCATTGGAAGACGTTTTCAAGCTTCTGGACTGGAAAGGATACGGTATCAACATCAATGGGGAGTACATCACTCACCTTCGATTTGCCGACGATATAGTCCTTATGGCAGAATCGCTGGAGGACCTAAGCACTATGCTCAATGACCTCGATAGTGTTTCCCAACGGATAGGTCTTAAGATGAACATGGACAAAACAAAGATCATGTTCAATGTCCATGTCACACCTATGCCGGTAGTTGTTGGGAGCACTAAGCTCGAAGTTGTTGACGAGTATGTTTACCTGGGACAAATAGTCCGACTAGGTAAGTCCAACTTCGACCGAGAGGTCAATCGACAGATTCAACTCGGCTGGGCAGCGTTCGGGAAGCTACGACACATCTTCTCGTCAGACATACCTCAAAACCTGAAAACGAAATTGTACAACCAGTGCGTGTTGCCAGTGATGACTTATGGAACTGAGACGTGGTCCTTCACTGCTGGCCGTATGAGGAAGCTCAAGGTCGCTCAGCGAGCTATGGAGAGGGCTATGCTCGGAGTTTCTCTGCGTGATAAACTTAGGAATGAGGATATCCGCAGTAGAACCAGAGTAACCGACATAGCCCAACGGATTAGTAAGCTGAAGTGGCAGTGGGCCGGCCATATAGCTCGAAGAACCGACAACCGATGGGGAAGAAAGGTTCTCGAGTGGCAGCCTCGTACCGGTAGGCGAAGTGTAGGGCGTCCCCCCACGAGATGGAGTGACGACCTGGTAAGACATGCAGGAAGTCGATGGATGCAGGTGGCTCAGGACCGTGCTTTGTGGCATTCTTTGGGGGAGGCCTATGTTCAGCAGTGGACTTGTGAAGGGCTGTAATGATGATGATGATGATGAAGAATAAGGAAGTGCATACTTTAAATACTAGGAACAAACATAAGCTTGTAATGCCTGTTACTAGACTCCACAGAATCAGTAATTCATTTACGGGGCAATGTATACGCTTTTACAACAAAATCCCAGAACATATTCAAAGTTTGTCAATAAACAAGTTTAAAAGTTTTATTAAAGAAAAACTGTACAAAAACGGTTATTATAATATCAAGGAATACATGAATGAAAATAACCCCTGGGAATAGGGTGATCGCCACCATTCTGGTTCCATGAAAAATCATTTAAAAATTGTATAAACGAAGTTATTGTTAAGTGAAATATGTTTGAAAAAAAAGTCCCGCTGGGTTTCTTGCTGGTTCTTCCCAGGACTGGGGTGTTTTCCGAACCAGTGGTAAATAAAAAATGACTTTCAATAAGTATTATGTAATAATCAATATTGAATAAAAAATTATTCTATTCTATTCTATTCTATTCTTATGGTGAGATTCTGCTATAGTTGTCACGCTTGGCAAGCGAGTTCTTTATTGTTTTGAGCTGTTATCAGGAATATGCTACTGCCCATCTCTAGTGGATATTCTTATCCCGCTATTACACGGTTATGTGACGTATGCAATAGATATTAATAATTGATGCATGAATATTTCACCTCTAACTAACAATTTTATTGCACAGTAAATGACTGATAAGAACTTTTGTGTGAGTTTTCTTAACGACGTCTACTCTTACACTTCTGGTATCTAATACAAGTGCCTCACTTTCTTTGTTTTACTCTTACCTGTATAAGGCTAAACTAAACTAAAACGTAATATTTTTTTTGCTTTTTAGTCTGTCATCCAGATCCGAGCTATGTTTAAGGTTTAAACTCTCAATCACCTACCGCATGAGGAAGTTAATTTTAAAATCGATTGCAAAATTTGTATCAAATAGACAAATAATTATCACACGGAAAATTTAATTTTGATTTTTTATATTCTATTCTGCTTTTCCAAGCTACCACCTGGTGAACCTTTTCTGTAATTCAAATATTATTATTATCTTATATCAAAAATTACTACAAATAATAAATAAACGTTTGTATTTTCGTTAAAAAAGGCTTCATCTCCAGCCGGTACGGAGTTAGAGACAATCGCTATGAATTGGCTCGGTAAGATTCTCGGACTTCCTGACTGTTTTCTCAATGAAAAGAATGATAGCCCTGGTGGTGGTGTAATCCAGGTAAGTAATGTTTTTATTTAGGCTTTATTATGTTCTTAAACGGTAAGGTGGTGCAATGGCTAAGCGTTTGGATGCGGCGTTGTTGGGCCTCGGGTTCGAACCCGCACGGAACAAGTGCTTGTATGGCCTGCAATAAATTTTTCCATTTCTGGACATTTTTTAATGTGTAATTTATCAATGTAAAACTTCTACACATTATTGGAAAAAATCTTATTGTTTAAAGTTTATACTAATAACTGACATCCCTATTTTTAATCCTAATTTACTATGTAATTAAAAAGAAATTATAGTAGCTAGAGACTTTTAGCGCTGTAAATGATGAGTGTTCTGTAAACATTTATAAAATTCAATTATAGAAATATTTCATCACTGAAGTGGTGTATGAATAGGGATTAATTTTCTAAAATATTATATTAATTAAGGATATTTACCCATGAGACCGTAAAAAGGCCGCCATGGCCTGTTTCTCACTTACTATTAAGGATTAGTCATTTGGATTGGTGATTCCAGAATCAGACGTCTAGCAATTTTAAAGCTACTTATCATTATTGATCTGAATATTTTACATTATACACCTTTCAAGAATTGTCTTGCGAGATTTCTTACGACAAGGCCTGAATAATATGGGATTAGAGATTTTAATGTGTCGCCCCCGCACAGTTTGGTTTTGCTATGATATATATTCGAACGCACTTCTCGGCAGTTAGTAACTCTACCACCGAGTAAAGCATTTTGAGATAATATATATTTATTTTAGTTTAATATTATATTTAGCACTAAGCTTGAAGTTGTTAATGAATATGTTTACCTGGGACAAATAGTCTGACTAGGTAAGTCCAACTTTGACCGAGAGGTCAATCGACGGATTCAACTCGGATGGCCAGCGTTCGGGAGATTACGACACATCTTCTCGTCAGGAATACCTCAAAACTTCAAAACTATATTGTAAAAACAGTACGTAAACCAGTTGTCAGTGATAAATATGGATCTGAGACGTGGTTCTTCACTACTGGCTCAAAGTCGCTCAGCAATCTATGGAGGAGACTATGCTCGGCGTTTCTCAGCGTGATAGACTTAAAAACGAGGATATCTGCAGTAAAACAAGAGTAACCGACATAGCCCAACGGATTAGTAAGCTGAAGTGGCAGTGGGCCGGTCATATATCTCGAAGAACCGACAACCGATGGGGAAGAAAGGTTCTCGAGTGGCAGCCTCGTATCGGCAGGCGAAGTGTAGGGCGTCCCCCAAATAGATGGAGTGACGACCTGGTAAGACATGCAGGAAGTCCATGGATGCTGGTGGCTCGGGACCGTGTTTTACGGCATTCCTTGGGGGAGGACTATGTTCAGCAGTGGACTTGTGAAGGGATGTAATGATGATGATGATGATTATATTTATTACAAATGTTATACACAGAAAACAAAAATTCAGTTGTACATTTGGTAAATTGTAACAACTACTTGTGCACAGTTCAGCAATATAATCTATTCTATTCTATAAATACTAGGAACAAGCATTAGCTAGCAATACCAGCTACTCGGCTCCAAAGAGTTAGTAATTTTTAACGTGGTAAAATATACGCCTTTACAACAAAGACCCACAAACTTTACTAGAACTGTCTTGTAAAGAAGTTCTAAACTTTTACCAAGCAATTGTATTATAACATAATACAATATTAAAGAATTTGTAATAATTAATAGACAATAATCCCTGGTAATTCCTTGATGTACACATACATTTTTATCTATTATTAAAAAATCGGCTTGGTTTCTTGCTGGTTCTACCCAGGACAGAAGCCTTTTTCTGAACCAGTGGTAAAATATTAAATAACTTTCAATAAATTAATTTTCTTTAAGCGTTTTTTATTGTATTCGGTTTCGATTTTCATACATTATATATATGCAGGGTTATTTTTCAAAGCGTAGACAAATTTTAAACTTAAGTTCAAACATATAAATAATAATATTTATATGTTTTTGTTATTATTTGAAACTATCCCAAATTGAATGTTTGTTATGTATTTATGGGCAACAACGTTTTTGCCTATCGATTGGCCCTTACAAATGTGTGCATGCGCAGTAAAATAATTTAAAATAATTCATTACCACGCATTTTGAATTTAAGAGATAAAAAGGGCAGAATGTTTGAGATTTTATTAAGTTTTCTTTACCATTTGCCTACTTTGTTTTACCCTGTATTAGAAATAATCATTTGTGTGTTTGTTTGTGTTTTAGACTACAGCTAGCGAAGCAACATTAGTAAGCTTACTGGCAGCACGAACAAGAGCTTTGATGGAGCTTTCGAAGCTCAATCCGGATGTGCAGTCATCTGAACTACTTGGACATCTCATTTGCTACTGTTCAGATCAAGCTCATTCGTCCGTTGAGAAGGCTGGTTTGATCGGTGAGGTTTATTTGAAATTTAAACCCACGCTGCAGAGTACTATGGCTACAATATAAATGGATCAGCTCAACCAGGGAAGAATGTTCGCACAGAATACCATCACTTAAAATATTAACATAATGTTACCATTACTTCAGGAATTTCCAGGAGGTTAATAGAGTGGAAGTAGCTTCTGTGCGACTTTAATAGATGTGCACGAGGTAGAGCCATGCTGCAGCTATATTATGGTTGTAGCACGAATGAATCGGCTCGACCAGGAAGGACCACGCTCTCACAGAATACCAGCATAAAATAGCAGCTTACCGCTGCTATGTTTCGTATGGCGAGTGTAGAGGACCGGAAACTCTTTTTACTGGAAAGAGGAATTCCATCTTAGTCCTCACGAGTGACAACGCATCTGCATTTTGTTTCGTAATCGAAGATAGACGTAGATGTCTATGGGCCACAGCAACCACTTACCATCAGGTGGACTGTATGCTCGCTTGTCACCCTCATGCTATAAAAAAATATAATTGACTTAATAGATGTAATAACTGTAATATTCAAAATATTATTAGTTTGACAGATTTATAGGTTTCTACAGAATATTTTCCTTGACTAGTGACTAAACAGTAAATGGGTGCTTAAAACTGTAACTAACAATTATATAGTGTTGGCTTTTCGTTTTTCGTTTTAAATTCAAAATAAAATTTGTAATGTTATCAGCATTGCTTTAGCTTTAACAATTTTCTTTAAGGTTTGGTAAGGATGAGATATATCGAATCTGATGAAAACCAAAGCATGCGTGGAGATAAGTTGGAGGAAGCTATCATCAATGATAAGACCAAAGGACTTGTGCCGTTTTGGGTAAGTGGACCTTAGTAAGAGTTTTTTAGTTAATTCATTCCTAATTATAGATGATGATTAAAATGGTGTGCTAATTGCTAACTTTAGTCTTAATGATAGTTTAGGAGTATTTCCATTGGTTGTCTACTGAACAGGGGATTATAAAGTGCCACAATTAAAGGCCTAGCTTGTTTAGCTTCTTACCCTATTTAATACATAATATTATATAACTGTAGGTGAGTTACATTGAAGGACCATAGATGATTCATCGGATATCTCACAAAAGAACATCATTTGAAAACGAAAAGTTTGTATTTATGCAATATTTCTAGACCCTGGTCTAGACGCTGGTCCGACGGTCGTCAAGTCATATATACAAATTTCTTTTTTTTTTGTTAGCCTTCGAATATAGAGATTGTTGTTGTCCTTACGTTTCGCCAATTAAGGCAGGTAAGGGTATTAGACCATACAGCCTAGTCTGATTTGTATTTTGCTCACAAAACTTTTAACAATATGCTGATGCGTCACATTGCAAAGTTCTTGGGAGATTTTGGCGACATCTTAACCTAGGGAATAGTCGATGACGATGATATCTCAAGTCTCTTAAGCGGATAAATACTTAAATCCTTAGATCACCAAGGAAACACTTGTGGCGAACTTGCTACATCACTTCTATTAATAGTTCACATGCGCAGACATTTATTACATAAAACCGCATCATTTTACGTATTCAAATCCATTTAAAACTATTATTGAAACGGTAGAACAAGAGCAGCAATCTACTGGCCGTTAGGTTCCCGCCAAAACTTCAAGAACATAGAGATATTGTCTTATGAAAATCAAGAGAATTCTAGCTTAGCATAAACTTGAGATAACTAATTATAGAGCTAGTATTTTAATTAGATTGGGGTATATGTAGCTACAGTGTTTTTTATAAATATAAACTAAATATTTTTAAAACAAAATGAGCATTTAAGTGAACAATTAATTTGCCCGTTTAATTGTAATATAATTATTATACGTGGTGTATTACAATAAATTACTTTAAGTTGTTCAGTATTAATATACATTAGTAATTAACGTAAGATTCTATTTATGTTTATGTTACGACTAAAAGCTGAAGTGCGGATACACCTAGGTTTACCCGGCTACTACTAGAGGCAGCCTATTGCGGTTAGTTAAACTTAGGTGTATCATATATAATTTATAAATTAGATAAATAATTGCGATTTTATAAACCGCACCTTACCCTACTGTCGCTGATGTCACTTGATACGTATATCAGAGTTTTTACAAATTTAACAGTACACCTAAATTTAACCAACTACTGCTGTCCGCACCTAGTTCTAGCAGGCTAGAACTAGGTGTAACCGCACCTCGGCTTTTAGCCGTAACATAAATACAAATGTTTTAAAAGAAACATCTCAAGGGGTAAATATTTTAAAAACAATATCTTTAGAATCACTTAAATTAAAACGATCATTATAGAGAGATTAGTTGTTTTCATTTTAATATGAACGCGAACAAGAAGCAGTGTTCCCTTTGGGGCCAATTTGTATTGCAGAGATTATGCGGAGAGACCATTAGATGGGACAAGCAATAAGTGACTGGCGGAAATATTATAGCAAAGGAAATTTGTTGAAAGACGTTCCCGTCTGAATTTATTACGCACCATTTTTTTTATTTTTAGACAATTTATTTAAAAACAGATTGATAACTCTTTCGTGCCCGGTTTCTGAAGTACTTTTAACGACGCTTAATTTTTCATTAGCGCTATTGGCTAAGCTATCAAGCTTATGAAAGTGTGATTCGAAACATAGCAATTTTTTTTGACGTACACACTTGTTCCAACCCTGTTTGTATTTTTTGTTTTTACATTTATTATTTCCTTTAATAATATACGAAAATTCTGTGCCTTCCTTAAGTATACATATACATATTATCTCTCTATGCATTTTATCTAATAGCAAAAAGTGTTCAGTATTGTTATACAAATCATGCGCACATTCACGACATTCGGTCGGGAAATCAATATGACGTAACTTAGAATTACAATAATCTAGGTGTTGTTTTATTTGTTGTTCGTCTATTACTACTATTACTATAGACAGGTGAGGTAACACTCTTAGGTCTAATCAAAGTAATATTACACTCAATAAATATAGGAATGTGGTCCGACAAATATACACCATACAATACCGTGGCCTTAACTACTAATAGCTTAGCCGCACACGTCACAACACAGTGATCTAACCATCGTAGAGACCCATTAGCTGAGCTCGTAAATGTATGAGTATCAGTGACTAAAAATTCCATATCAATGTAAGACCATAACTGATCAGTACAAACAGTAAGCAACTCACTTGAAGATCTGCTACCTAGATGCGCATTAAAGTCTCCCAGCATAAAAACATTTTCCACTCCATTAATCTCAGTAATAGAAACAATCTCACTGAAATACTCCGTGAATTCTATGAGGTTATCAACACTATCTGTAGGCATATATAGCGAAAAATAAGTAAAATATTATTGTCAATTTCAATCGTGATGCGATCACTGCGACAGTTTATAATGGAAACCGAACTAAAAACTGATTTTTCCACAAAAGCGCTACTCTACAGTATAGTCTTCCCCTCAGTATATCGACAACAGATTTTCAGGCATACCCGAAGTCTGCGTCGATGCATTCAAGGTAAGGCACGTCAGGAGGAAGGAGTCAGGTCTCCTGTAGGGCTATGACGTCAGCATCCGCACATAATAATAATAATAATAATCATTTATTTAAATAAAAGTACAATAATAAAGTGAAGACTCTGATCCCCAAACTAGACAAGTCTGTATCTTAGGGATAAGCAGCCTCTCCCAGTGGTGTGACCACAGTATCTTCAGAATTATATATATCTTAAGAATTAATTAAGTAACTAAGCTTAACATTTTTAAGTAACTGTTTAGCTATTTGAATGTATTTATTTACAACGAAACATAAGTCGTTATTATATTTTATATAATCGTAGGTATATTAAAATTAGTTTGCAATTTGTAATATATATACATACACATAATCATAGACATACATATATATATATATATACATACATACATATATACATATACACACATATATGTATATATAGAATATATTATTATATAATTTCATACTACATATTAAAATTTTATAATTTTATTATACTTTTATTATACGACATACATTACTTACACACATTTTTATTTTCTGTTTTACTATAATCAAGGGACAATAACCAATCTCGAACTTTAACTTTACATTCATGTCTGGAAAGAGGATAAAAATTTAGATTTCTATTTAACTTATTATAAAGCACTGAGGATAGATATGAACTTTGTCGCCTAGAAAAAGCAGTTGGACATCTGCCAATAACCAGTACATCCGGTATTCTGCGTTTATTACGACAGATCTCAGGGTCATAAGGAGTTAGAGCATGTTTCATTAAGATCAACTGTTGAATGTACAATTGCCTGACAGTCAACAGTTTGCATTCTTGGTAAAGCAGATTTGTAGGATACCTGAACGGTTTAAAAGTCATAGTTTTTAGGAGACATCTTTGAGCTCTTTCTAATTTTATCATAAATGTTTTGCATGCTCCACCCCAGGCAACTATACAATAACCTATAATTGATTGTGCTAAGGCGTAGTATACAGTTCTTAATAAATTAAAGTCAGCGATGTGCCTTAGCCTTTTAAATGCCCAAATAAGTATCCTAGTGCGCGATGAAATAAGGTCTATGTGTGGGAGCCAGCTTAGTTTCTCGTCTATAATTACTCCGAGATATTTAATTGATTTGGATTTCATCATTTTAGGGCAAAGGCAAGTATCTGTTGACTGTGAACCACAAGAGTGTACTGTTAGTTGTATATCGTTAACAGTTTGGGTGTTGGTTATATGGAACTGCATATAGGTGGACTTAGATATATTAAGAGTCAGTAGATTCTCCTCAAGCCAATTTGCCACAGTTTGAAGACCCCTCATCGCAAACTCCTGGACCTCAGGCCAAGTCTCTCCGTAGAAAATTAAGGCTGTATCATCAGCATAAGTAAATAGCTTGCCTTGACTTAGTGTCATTGAGCACAGGTCGTTAATATAAACCAGGAAGAGATTTGGTCCCAGGATACTGCCCTGAGGGACTCCAAACGTGACACAGACATCTGAGCTAATAACTTTTTTTATTTTTACTCTCTGCACACGGTCATATAGAAAATCCTTAAAAATAGAAAGGGCAGAATCTCTTATTCCAATTTTTTCTAGTTTGTTTACAAGAATTGGTATCGAAACGGTGTCGAAAGCTTTGGCTAAATCTAGGAAAATCCCTACACACTTCTGTTTATGGTCCAGTTTATTTGTTACAAATTCGGTCAAGTTACGAACAGCATCTTCTGTACTAACAGCCGCTCTGAATCCGAACTGCATATTAGATAAGATATTATATTGGTTTAGAAATTTAACCAAACGATTATTAAGCATCCTTTCTAAGATTTTTGAAAGAGCAGGTAGCACAGAGATTGGCCTGTAATTTTCAACAACGTCCCGAGCCCCATTCTTGTAAACAGGAGTAATGAGAGATCTTTTAATAACTTTTGGAAAGCATCCTTGTTCAAAACAGATTTTAAAAAGGGTTGTGAGTGGCAGAAGTATTTTATCCTTGGTCATTTTAAGGAAGACAGCAGGAATGGAATCCCAACCAATAGCACAATCATTTCTAAGACCCATCAATATTGTTTCAACTTCTAACTCGTCAGGAGAATCGAGCACAAATGAATTAAGCGACCAGGGCACAGTATTAACATTAGCAGGTTTAACACCGTTTGCTAGAATTTTATCAGCTAATTTTCTACCTAAAGTTGAAAAATAGTAATTAGCTCTCTCCACTGAATCTGTAGGATTTTTAATGATCAAATTTTCAGCGTAATTATTTTTAGTATCACACCTGGAGATGGCTTTAATTGCAGACCAAGTTTCTTTACTGTTTTTTGCATTTGCCAAAAG